TCCCCACCCCACACACCCCGCCCATGACTCCTGCAGGCTCTCAGCAGTAACAGAGCAAAGTGAAAAACTGTCTGCTGAGCTCCACTACTTCTCACTCAGTGAAGCTCTTTTCAGATTCAAAATACCTTTGAGGAAATGTATTTTTAGTCCCCAAGTAAACTGCATCATAGCACACCCACCCCTCGCTCGCGCAACCTACCGACCGAAATTGACGGGGCAGAAGCGGAAGGTGGTTCTTAAAGAGACAGAGGCCAATTTCAAGGCGTTTAGAAGAGGAAGTGATGAGAAGATAAGTTTATTTTCTATTTAAACATAAAAACAGCATTTTAATAACAACTAAAGGTGACATAGATACTTTATTATGATATAGTATTTAAATATATGCCTGAGAAACACATAAAATTGCCCCTTTAAGTGAAAATGGCTGAATTCAGTTCTTGATAAAGGTGAACTTGGACAACAACTGTTTTACCTTGAAATGTGTGTGAGGTAGACTCAGCCAGAGCTCCGCAGTTTGATTGCACCAATGGACCGCGGATGTTAATGAGTGAGCTTCCTCGATTGGTCAGCGCTGCCTTCAGTGGAGCGACATGGTTGAACTGGACTGAGGAGAGGCAGCCAGTGAAACCTTTAGAAGCTGCTTTCATCACCTCTTCATCTAAGTTTTCCATCCCTATCAAGATGAGAGACAAAATCCTCACGTGACGCTTCTGTAAGTTCCAGTTATCCAAACAACATCAGGAAAGACTAAATAAATTTAACGGGAAATGACAGCAGAAGTAGCACAACTTGCATTTTCTCAGAACTTTTCTTAAATTGGAGGACTTACTGATGACTTTGCCCAACGTCAAGGATCTGATTAAGATCAGCTCAGCATCAGATGACAGTGTGTACTTTCTGTGGATGTCCTGGTCGATCTAGTTGAGTGGAGAGAAATCAAATAACAAGACAATTACACGAAATGTAAACCGAGGTAACAGCAGCAGCATCAGCAGCTTGCTATATTTTATGGATTGATATTTGTGTTTTCTGCGGCTGCACTCGAAACCTTCCCTGCCCACAGTTAGCTGCTGAAGTGATTTTGACCTCTCTTTTCTTCTCATGCTGACTCAGATGCAACACTTAATACAATGATGTGAAATAAAACACTGCAGTATTTTTTTTTTTTTGCCCAGTGCCTCCAACACACCAGCAGAAAAGTGTTTTTTCACATTCCCTCTTGGATGCTTTTGTTAACATTCCTCTATATTCTGATAAGCTGTACAAAAATAGCTGTAAAACTCTTTGTGTTAATTGATACATTAAACAGGCAACCATAGTAGTTAATAGTAGTTATTTGATTAACTGTGCATCAATGAGTGTGAAGTGTATTTCTTTAATCTTACTGTTATGTGACCTGTGTGTTACCATACAGAGAATTTTGTTCTTTCATTTGAAAACTACACATGATGCTAAAAATGTTTAAATCCTTTAAATGAGCCCATGTTTTAACGTGGCTTTTCTGCATCCAGACAAACACAGACATAATTTGGTCATTTCCATTTTCCAAACTATCAGCTCTAATCTGATGGACTCAATAAATGGTCGGGTTATGGAACAGGAAGTCTTAGACTGGACAGTCCTTATCTTAATATCTGTCTACTACAAAAAACACTGAATGAAATTGATCTGACTTGACCTTTGAGACCTGCTCTGAGGTTTACATTTGTTATGGGGCCGAAGGTTTGATTCAAACTGGTCAGTAATGGATTGGGCCCATGCCCGAATGAAACAAAGTTCAATGGTTAAACTAAACTTTTCATCAAACAAAACTAGACAAAAGCAAAAAACTAAAATAATCCATCCATCCATAAGTCCATTTTCTGGACACACTTATTCCTTTCAGGGTCACAGGGGTTCGCTGGTGCCCATATCCAGCAGCCACAGTGCGAGGGCGCGGTACACCCTGGACAGGTCGCAACTCCATCACCGAGGTCAAAATAAAATAAAATAAAATAAAATAAAACTAGACACCACACAGTGGTAACATACTGTAATGACCCCCGCACGCACAAATGCACCAGAACTCAGAAGACTTTGTTCCTAATAAATGTCATGTTACTAGGTGCATCCCAAAATTGTAGTGGTTTGGGTGGGGGTCTCTTTTATTTGAGGGGGGGGGGCATTTGTTGGTGGGCCTGATGGATAGCCCCTCATCAGAGCTAAAGAACAAAAGAAATCTGAAGCTCCTATGTTGAACAGTTTCTGAGTTATAAGCATTTTTTGTATATCCAGACACCCCTTTTTCAGATAAATTGCGGGCCCAGGTGGGTGAGGGGGCTGATTGGTGGGCTTGATGGATAGAGCTTCATCAGAGCTAAACAACAAAAAAATTGAAGCTCCTATGTTTAAATCTTTTGAGCAATAACCATTTTTGTATGTCCAGACACCCCTTTTTCAGATAAATTGGGGTCCGGTGGGGTGGGGGCACTGATTGTGGGCCTGATGGACAGAGCTTCATCAGAGCTAAACAACAAAAGAAATCTGAAGCTTCTATGTTGAACAGTTTCTGAGTTATAAGCATTTTTGCATGCCCTGACACCTCCGCTTTGAAAGGAGCCCCCTCCTCAAATGTGGGGTCTATCGTAAAACCGTTGGCTGGAGCAGTGTAGGTCGGACTCAACTACAGTCCTGCCAAATTTCACGCTGATCGGTGCAGCTGTTTTTTGTGCTACGGTTGACCAAAAATTACTGAATAAAAATAAATAAAACTAGACATCGCATAGCAGTAACATAATGACCCCCGCACGCATAAATGCACCAAAACTCTGAAGTCTTTATTCCTAATAAATGTCACTCTACTAGGTGCATCCCAAAAT